CATTTAATTTTTATATGAGATAAATTCACATAGGTCAGAAATTGAGGAAGGTATGTGTTTACCTGGAAGAGTGAAAACTCTCCTTCCCATTCCAAACCCTCCCGGTAAACTTTATTGTTGGTTCCTTGGGTATCCTAGTATTTCTTGATGTATGTATAAGTAAATGCTAACATATATTCATGGTTTATTTAAAGGGTGTCTTGAAAATAAATTGCCCATGAGCATGCCCAGTAAGTGTATAGTAACTTGGAATATAGTAGAGTATGGCATATTTTTCTCTAGTAGTTTTCTCTATTGGCAGTGTCAGGACATCTTTTCATCAGAGCTTATAAAAATAGAGGGTTTGTTAACCCTTGTGAATTTGCTCCCGGTTATAGTAAACTAGTAGAATGCCCTGCACTTTATTCCTCTTTAAATAGTTACATTCAGATGAGAAATTAGTAAGTATGAGTCTTTAACGCCATCTCTAACCCTTAGGGCTTTTATTTGACTTTGAAGTGTCTGGTTTTTAAAAATTGCATTCTGAGCATCAGAATGAGAATTGCTATTTATTTACTTTTAGATGCCTGTCTTAGATGTCAAGCTGAAAACAAACAAGAGGACTGTGTTGGTATGTTGTAATTTCATTCTCTTGCTTTTTCAACTGGAGATTTTCTCAGTAGGGATGTTTGAATTTGCAATTAAGATTGACTTTATCAATACACAGAAATAAACTGTAAAGCCGTGATCTATTATTAATATAAAATATGTTGGTTCTGAAAAGACTTTAATGGAATGACCCTGCAAATCCTTTTATTGCAGTAATTAAGAATTGATTATATATTCCAGACGTCATAATAAACATTTTGGTAATCAAAAATGACATAATTATTTTCTATTAAGAAAATTATAAAACCAGAAATTGGTCAAAACATTATTTGAATTTTGGCTCTGTTATAGGTCACTTTTGGTTCTAATAAGGCATTTCACTTTTATATGCAGTATTTTAACTTTAAAACCAAAGTAGAAAAAATTCAAAGTCTCAAGTATTTTTTTGGAATGCGGGTTGCATATCAAATTTTCTTTACAGTCTTACACTACAAAAGTTGTCTTAGGCTAAATATTGTAGGCAGTTGAAAGATTTTTGTGCCCTAGTTCTTGAGGTGATTATGCCTAGATTGCTGTCTAAACATGTTTACAGATTTTCTTAGAATAAAAGATTTAGCTTTGTATTTTGTGTTTGTCTGGTGTGCATAGAGCACATAGAAATTTTTAATATTGATTCATGCAGTTTTGATCCAGTTCTTCCTCCTGAAACACTTAGAATGTTTCACCCTTGTTTCCTACCCTCTGTAGCCAATTTTCATAGGATTTTTTTTTCTTTTTTTCCTCCCATTTCATTTAATCTTTTTCTCTTGTCATAAGCTCAGTTGGTCAAGCAAGGGACAGATTAATCCCAAATTTGAGATTGCATTTCAGATTGTGGATGATTTCCCTTGTTTTAAAGTTTTTCTTTCATGCTGCTTGTTTAAAAGTATTAACTTGGGAATTGTGAGGGGCACTTTCTTTGATCACAGAGAGACCTCTCTCTCAAGCCAGCCACTTTGAAAATTTCATCGTCACATGAATTGCACTGGCTGTGGATGACTTAACACAATTCATCACTTCTAGAAAAGAGCTCAGCTCAGTAGATGCACAACTGAATGCTTAGAAGCATGTCATTGATGATAGCCTACTGCATAATAAAAACATTTACAACTCATTCTATCTTGGTAAAAAAAAATTGGAAGAAGATTTTTCCATGAAATAAAGCCCAGAAGATCTCTAACATCAGTGCATGACTGAGAAGGTCAGACCTAAGGAAGGTTCAAGTCCTTTCATCTCCTAACTTCATGAAGACAGCATGTGGAGCTGTGTAGAACTAGGGGTCATCACATCACCCATAGATTCTAAAACAGGGATGGAAAGGCTTTCAAACAGTGACTTATCTTATGTCTCTGTGTAACTTACACATTTAAGTTTCTGTTTCTTTATAGATAGAAAAACATCATTTTGGCCAATTAACTATCTTTTTTCAAGATTATTATTTGTAATACAAAATAAGCTATAATTTTGAGTTCAGTTTTTAAATTGAAATATGTAATGTTAGCTCTTCTTTTTCTTTCTTTCAGTGGTCTGGGGAGAATGTAATCATTCCTTCCACAACTGCTGCATGTCCCTGTGGGTGAAACAGAACAATCGCTGCCCTCTCTGCCAGCAGGACTGGGTGGTTCAAAGAATTGGCAAATGAAGTGGTTAGAAGGCTTCTTAGTGCAGTTGTTCAGAGCCCTGGTGGATCTTGTTATCACATGCCCTACAAAGGCTAGAACACTCCAGGGGATTAATTCTTCAAATAGGAGTCGATGGATGTGTGGTCCTTTGGGATTCATCAAAGGCTTGGTTTAGCATTTTGTCAGGTTTATTTTCAGAAATTCTCTGCAATTAAGAAGATAATTTATTAAAGTTGGTCCTTCCTACCTCTGTGGCGTGTGTGGCACACACAGCTTAGAAGTGCTATAAAAAAGGAGAGAACTTCAGATTGAATCACCTTTATAATTTACCCATTTCTATACAGCCGGCTGTGGGAGCAGTTTCATTCAGAAAACTTTGCATGCTTATGGTTGATCAGTTAAAAAAGAATGTTACAGTAACAAATAAAGTGCAGTTTAAAACTCAACTTCTATTAATTTGTTCCTAATATGTATTTTTGGCAGTGATAGAGAGCGGTCCGTGAAATCTTGATGTGATATGAGGATTTTAAGTTAGGGCCAGTGAACAGGATAAATAAAATTTAACTTTTGGGCATATGAAATTTTGATTGTCTTTTAAGTTATTATTTTCTATCATTGACTCATCAAGAAAACGTAGATCTGCATTCACCTTGCTATTCAATCATGAGTGGTAAGGACAGAAGTATTTTCTAGTTCTGGTCAGATGATGTAATTTTTTTGTTTTTTAGGTGAAGTGTCTTTCAGGCTGGAATGCAGTGGCACAGTGCCGGGTCACTGCAACCTCCGCCTCCCGGGTTCAAGTGATTCTTTTGCCTCAGCCTCCTGAGTAGCTGGGATTACAGGCGAGTGCCACCACACCCGGCTAATTTTTGTATTTTTTAGTAGAGATGGGGTTTCCCCATGTTGGCCAGGCTAGTCTCGAACTCTTGACTTCAGGTGATCCCCCGACCTTGGCCTCCCAAAGTGCTGGAATTACATAGCCACCATGCCTGGCCCATATGATGTAATTTAACTGTGTTTTAGGTAACATGGTAATGAGGGAAAATGTTTACCAGTGTTGGATTGGATCAAAAAGTTTATCACACAATGTTTTAATAAATGGTTTATTCTGTTTACCTTATTTGAATAGTCATTATAATGTTATGTGCAACCTTAAACTTAATAAACTAATTTGTCAAGGAAATACTTTAATTTGAAAATATTCATATTCATTTATACTTTCATTTGACAATAATAAAATTTAAGGTTTATTACCTACAGAGAATACAAGAAAATACTAAATTTTATTGAACTTATTCACACTGAGGGGAGATTATTTAGTAACAAACAATGGACCACAAGTTCATTTTGAATTCTGTAGTACAGGCTACTGATAGGAATTTAAGCAAAAAACCTTAGAATCTTAACTATTCACATCTGCAGATTCAGTTTGCCATTCTGAATTTGTCAATCTAAGGGATGTGGATACATAAAAGAATGTTTAAAAAGGTAACAATTAGGATTATGTGTGCTTTTGTATGAGCTAAAAATCACATTTCTCTGGAAATTTTTGCTTTGTATTTTTTCACAGTTGTCTTGCTAACTACTGAAAAAATACAAATATCTTTGGCCATTTGAATGCTTATCATTATGCAGTGAACTATTTTAGAAGCTTTCTGTTTGACCTTTTTGGAAGGTTGCATCCTTAAAATGTTAACCAAATCCATGTCTTTGCAGTGAAGAGGAAAGCAGTAGAATGTCAGGTTACTTAAGGCAGTGTGACAGTGTGTAAATGAAATGTGAAGGATGATGGCAACAATTTGATTTTCCACACAGCAAAACCACAGTCCCACCACCTAACAGAGCTCTGTTTATGCTACACATGAGCATCTGAAGGAAGGGGTGGCACTGTGACAAAGTAGCGCTGATGATTACAGCTCATCTGCACAGCCATCTGAAAGTTTAATACGTACTCATCAGAAGGAACATGCTGGGACAATTTTGGGTTCCAACACAAAAGTTAAGCATCAAACAGGTTTTTCTTTCCATTTGATTAAAATGATGCTGAATTTTATTTTATTCGTGCATTAGAAACATGTTATCTTTCATTATTTAATTTTCCATCTGTGCAAATTATGTTACTGTACTACAGCTGACCACTATCAGTAAATCTTACTCTGTGTCAGTCCTGTTGTTTCCTTTTTTTTTTTTTTTTTTTTTTTTTTTTTTNGAGACGGAGTCTTGCTCTGTTACCAGACTGGAGTGCAGTGGCGAGATCTTGGCTCACTGCAACCTCCGCCTTCTGGGTTCGAGCACTTCTGCCTCAGCCTCCTGGGTAGCTACGATTACAGGCACATACCACCACACCCAGCTAATATTTGTATTTTTAGTAGAGATGGGGTTTTACCATGTTGATCAGGCTGGTCTCGAACTCTTGACCTCAAGTGATCCACCCACCTCCGCCTCCCAAAATGCTGGGATTACAGGCATGAGCCACTGTGCCAGGCCCAGCCCTTGTTGTTTTAAAAAATATTTAAAGGATAAAATATTACTTACTTGGCTATAAGGAAAATTGGAATTAAAGTACAAATATATTTTAAATTATAATCTATTTTGTATTGAACATTTGAATAGTATAACAAAATACTGAAAAAATGTTTGCATAGAAGTTCCTGTTTTCCATCAAGTCATTCCATTTCTGCCATCATTAGGTTTTGTTCAGCAAAATACGTCTTACAGGGAAAATATTTTCTTTGCATTTTGGTACCCTTTCTTAGTGGCAGCACAGCCAGGATACCTGGATTTGAATCCTAGCCCCACCATTTATGTGATTTTAGGCAAGTTACTTCATCTCTCCATACCTCAATTTCTTCGTATGCAAGGTAGATTATAATAACAATATAATAATACTTAGCTGGGCACAGTGGCTCACACCTGTAATCCCAGCACTTTAGGAGGCCAAGTAAGGAGGATCACTTGAGTCCAGGAGTTTGAGACATAGTGAGACCTCATCTCTACAGAAAATGAAAACAAAATTAGTGGATGTGGTGGTGTACACCTGTTATTCCAGCTACTCAGAAGGCTGAGGTGGGAGGATTGCTTAAGCCCAGGAGGTCAAGGCTGGGGTGACCCATGATCGCACCACTGTACTCCATCCTGGGTGACAGAGCAAGACTTTGTCTCAAAAAATAAATATTAATAATAGCTACCTCTTTAGATTTTTTTGAGGATTGAGGACTAAATATATAAACTTAGAGCAGTATCTAGCACATGGTTAAGTGCAACTGTTACTGTTTCATTTTAGTCATTTTTAGAAGCACCTTTAATAGAAGTGTGACTTTTAAAATAATATGTTTTCAATTATGGAGTAAAACACTCCTAACTGTTCTCAATAAAAATTCTATAATAAAAAGTTAATTGTTGTGAACGCGATTAGATTACTTGTAGCGCTGTGTTCTTGTGAATAATGGTAGTAAGGCCTCAATAACTTGCCTGTTATATTTTTCTAATCAGTCAACATGATTTTCAGATTTTATTTTTTAATTTTTTTTTCATATTTTTTGTGACAGGATCTCTCTCTGTCACCAAGGTTGGGGTGCAGTGGCGTGATCACAGCTCACTGCAGCCTCAACCTCCCAGGCTCAAGCAATCCTCCTATCTCAGCCTCTCAAGTAGCTGGAAATACAGTTGCACACCACTACACCCAGCTGATTTTTTATTTTTTGTAGAGATGGGGTTTCTCCTATGTTGCCCAGGCCGAAGTTGAACTCCTGAGTTCCCAAGCAATCCCCCCACCTCGGCCTCCTAAAGTGCTGGGAATACAGGCATGAGCCACCATACTCAGCCAAGATTTTATATTAAGGTTTTGGTGAGGTCTCATTTTAATTTTAGGTTTTCCATCTTGGTAGAAATACCTCATTGGAATCTTAGAAATATGAATATAAAAATAAATGTTTTGCCTAGTTGATTTTGGGACTCTTCATATGGCTTAGAAAATTAACCTTTTTCTATTAAGTTGGTGCAAAAGTAATGGCATAAACCATTACTTGTATGAATACAACCCTCAATTTTCATTTTCATAGCCTTTTGGAGCAGGAGTAAGCTTTGCAATCAGCCTGTTGCTTTCTCTTATCTATACACTTGATAAATCTGAGACAGTGATTGGAACAGAATCTGCTTTTCCTGTATTGGTTACAAGCAAGCACTTTCCCTGGGTGAGTGTAGCTGCAGGATAGCATAGAATTAAGACTACAGTTTCAGAGTCGGCCCAGCTTGAAATCATGGCTCTATCATTTACTAGCCATGTGATCTTGAACAAAATCCTTAACTTCTCTGTGCCTATTTCGTCAACTAAAATGGGATAACATTGTTATCTACCTCATAGAGTTATGAAGATATTAAATAAATGCATTTTAACTTCAAGAACAGTGCTTGAAACAGTAAGCACTCAACAAATGTCAGCCATTATTATAGATCACTACTGATGCTGCTAATCTCTTTGCCTTAATTATCGAATAGCCTTTAAGAAAGGAATATTGTTCTCCCCACTTGTTCCCAGAGCTTTTTTTAAAAAAAAAAAAAGAAAAGGAATATTGTTTGCAGAGATACTTCTTGTAAGAATTACAATGTTTGTGTGTAGCTACAATCTGTAAAATATTGCCAACATGAGTTTTCAGGAGAGTGGTTTATAACCTTTTTTTTTTTTTTTAACCACCCCAACACATTCCCATCAGCAACAATGGGTTCTTGCACAATGGTTCCCAAAGAAGTGTGTGTGTACCAGGCAGGGCAGGGAATAGGGTTAGGGAAAACTGCTCAAGCCGAGTGCAGTGACACAAACCTGCAGTCTCAGCTGTTTGGGAGGCTGAGGCAGAAGGATTGCTTGAGGCCAGAAGTATAAGGCCATAGTGTGTGATGGTCATGCCTGTGAAAAGCTGCTGAACTCCAGGCTGGGCAACACAGCGAGACTCCATCTTTAAACAAAACAAAATGAAAAGAAAAACAAAAAAATGGCCCCGATGAAAATCTTGCTCAAAAATTCTTTAAACTATTTCAGCACGGGTGAAATGTTCTATGCTATTTGCATTTTATCCTAGCCTCTAAGGAGATGTCTACCAACTCTGTAAACTTACTGGGATTTAAACTATAGCAGTCATTCTTATACCTTCATTGCCATACTAACTCTAGCTATGCTTTTTCTACTTTTACAGAAATTATACATTTTTAATATTACATATTTATAATAAAAGTTTATTGCATGCCTGTTATATATGAGGCTTCACCACAAAGAAATAATTTTAATAAAAATAAGTGTACTTTCTTCAAAGACTGCAGAGTCTGTTAGGGAATATTAGCTTTATACAGAATTGTAAAGTGTTGACCTTCTAAGAGAAGTAGAAGAGAGAAACCATGTTCTACTCCTATATTACACTATATGTGACTACAAGACCTATTTCTTGTGTGGACT